GCAGGGATAAGGATGTCGGTGCCCTGCCCTGAATCCACCCATTGTCATTCCTATATAATTGTTAATTATTAGTGAAATTAATAAAAATGTTAGTTTTTGTAATTATTTTTATTTATTTAAAGTTAATCAACATTTCATTTAAAAATAATAATTATTAAAATTACTATAAATTATTAATAAAACTAAATTTATTAAGTATTTATTCATATTAAATTAATAATAACTATTTTCCATAAATCAATATTAAATAAAAACCCAATTATTAAAATTTTAAATATTAATAATAACTTTGAATAATTTTGGTTAATTAACAAAAAAAAATTAATTATTAATTTAATATTAATTAATATTAAATAAATTATTAAATCTTTCAGACTTTCTCGTACATCACACGGGTCCTGCTWGTATTATATGTAATTTATTATATTATATTATATTATATGGACCAGGCATTTTGGACCTAAGATTTTTAGTACTGGAACCGGTCTGCGTTATGTGCGAGTTTGATGCAGGCTCGGTTCAGGCAATGTAGGCCCGGGCAGAAATGATCATTGATCATTCCTACGTTTGATAAATTATAATTATAACTCCTACCCGAGGCCCAATATGCAATACTAGGTCAGTAGGTCGTGCTTAGCTTAACCCACTTCAAGCGATGGTGTGCGATTGATGCAATAAACACACAAATTAAACACGGTTGGGGATGGATTCTTATACCTAAAGCCGATTTTGACCCAGTTAACATCCGTGCGGGACCCATTGACTCGTGTGCACCGGTTCTCCAACGTATAACACGTGGCAAATACTGTCCCAGGAAGGAGGATGATGTACGAGACACGAGAGTTCAATTTCTATCCTTCCCCTGCATGACGCACCTCATCACTGATGGCCAACCAAATTTTCTAAAATCCCGAGTACGTGTCAGTCAGTGGAGTGTGCGTCATGCTTCATGCAATGAGGCTTTTATGTTTGCCACGTGGCAAATAGTGAAACCGACGTACTGAAGTATCTGTCCACATAACATAAGCCAAGGTTTTWTTATTAAAAGGAAGTGAACGAAAAAGCCGTTGGTTTCATGCATTTCTCCTTGCTGGTTGATGTATAAATAGAGACGAAGTTAGTGGAGGAAAAGCGAAAATGCAAAACAGAACGAAAGTAGAAAACTAGAAAGTAAGAGGAAGAAAGGAGAGAAAAGATGGGTAAAGGCGTGATGAGAGTAATGGAGAGCGTGGGTCGTTAAGACGGTTTCGCTTGGGTTCGCGTGGCGTGCGAGCTAAGCCTAAGCTCTCAATCGATTATCCTTCTCTCGCCAGCGAATGGAAACGGTAATCATCAATTCATCATCACAAGTTTTCTTTTGCATTTTCACTTCAATTTTCCTGCATTAATTTGATTCCGCTTTCTGATCCGCCTCCCAATGCAAGCTTTTTCTTCTTAATGTGGTGCATCTTTGTTCCTTCATTCTTTGACAGAGATTTCTCAGTTTATTTTCTTTTTCTTTGGAGGGTAAAGGCTTTTTCTGAAATGGAGCGCGACAGCAAGAAGAGAAGAAGAGACGACGACGACGAAGAGAAGACGGACTGGGATGTGTGCATGAAAAAGCAAGAGCATGTCGGCGTCGGCTTCGAAGACTCCGATATCTTCAAAGTATCAGATCCGTTTCGGCCATTTGGAGTGTTCGATTTCCCCTGGCTTAAAGACAATCTGGTGCTCGAATCGGAAGACTGGAAATTCGACGACGTCTTCTCTGCTTCTCTGGGCGACGTATCGGTCTCTGTTGGTGGGGGAGTCGATTTTGGGGGTCAGTGTTTGTGTCAGACTCCGGCGTTGGTTGAGATTCTTCCCGGCGATACGTTGGATGAAGAATCGTGGCCATGCGAGGGGGGCATGAATGATATCGACGGTGGTGATTGCATTTGGAGCTCCGTACTGAGTCAGCCGCTTTCCACCGGTTTCAGCAAGGTTCCTAACGCGTGACCACTGATTATAAAAAGGGATTGAATTCGTTTATGATTCATCTTCTCTTTTCTTCCAATTTTTTTTTGTTCTTTGTCTCTGAATTTGTTGACCATACGATTTTGATCCCTGAACGATTTGATTCAAGGATGGTGGATTAATGGGTCCTACATACGTGTGGTGGTGAACTGGTGATTGCTGCAACTAACAAACATTGTACCATCCCACGCATAGCTCTTCTGAGACTGTTTGGATTGGAATTGATGCGAGATCCAAATTGGGACCCATCGCTCATTTAGCATGGAAATGGAATGAATGCAAGAAAACAGTGATGTCGTATGTTAAATGCAAACATGGGGATTTGGGCGTAGAACGTAGAAGTTCTGGGCTTTTCGGTTTTAGCTTAAAACTTAAAACCCATACTCCTGAGTCCTGACAATAAGAACTGTTTTTGTAAAATAGGAGTTAGATCAGGTTTAATTAATTGGCAGTGGAATATAATTTCAGTCAGTTTGGAAACACTACCGTATTGAACTTAACTGACTTTAGAATAAGAAAACGCACCAATTATATGCACAAGAAGACAATAAATAAAAGGTTTCATGTAGCTCCGTTTGCTTTTTGGGTAAATGCAGTTAGCCGGTTACGTGGGTAAGTTCATTTATTCATGTCTTTTTTTTTTTGGAAATTGTCTGAGTTTTCAACATTTTCCTTAAACTCATCACAATTTTTTAAAATGTCTAAAACTCATCATATACCTTCCGTTAGTGCACCAATGGTCTTTTTAAGTTTTCAATTTTTTTGTTTTTTTAACATTTTTAGTATTTTTTTATAATTTTTAATATTTTTTATAATTTTTATTTTTTTATATTTTATATTTTCTACAATTTATAAATTTTCCTATATTTTTTGTTATTTATTTATAATTTCCGTGTTTTTCTATAATTTTTATTTTTTGATTTTGTTTCTCAATTTTTATAGTTTCTATAATTTGAAAATAATTTTTTATTTTGTTTGCAATTTTTATAATTTTTTATATTTTTTGTAATTTTTATGTATTTTATATTTAAAAAGTTTTTTGAAAATTTTCTTTTTTTTCATGTCTAAATATTAAAATGGTAATATATTAACACTCGTTAATTTAACTTGAAGTTAGTGAAATGGTGAGTTTTAGATAAAATGTGATGAGTTTAAGAAAAATACCAAAAACGACAGTTTTTCTTTTATTTTTTAGTTTTAAAAATTCATTATTTTTAAAAAGGATAATTTTGTCTCATTCAACTAACGAAATTAAGGGTATTTTGGTTAATGGGGGTTTCGCTTTTCATTGACCAATTTTCTTCGATTCAAAATAAATAAAGAAAAAACAAATAGTCTTTAGGCTACGTTTGTTTTCGGTATAATTTTTTATATAAATTCTATCGATGTAAAACTCAATTGATGGAGTTCAACATGGATGGGTTTAAAATTTTATGAACTATTGATAATTGATGCGATTATATATGGGGCGGAGTTTTACATCGGTTTGAATTTATATAAATAAATTTTATGTCAAATACGTGATTGATGGTGCACGATCTGGATGTTACTAGTTGGAAGGTAGCTCGAACGCCAATTCTGAAGTAGACTGGTCGAACTGCAAGATAGATAGATCAGAGAACCTGGGGTGACTAACCCAGCGAGGTCATTTCGATGCTCAAGTCAATATTGGATGTAAGTAGCGAGCTGAAAGTAAGTAAACTTGAGAGCTAGAATGCACTGTATCATGCGTATCATGTGTTAGTGAGGTAGATGCCCTTATATAGGCGTTGTTTGGCGTGGATTTCACACATCATATCCGAGGTCTCCGGGAAGATGTGCCTAACCGGCCCGATGTCCTCAAAGGTAGCTGTGCATGTATACCAGTCTTCGAGCCTTGTTCGGTTTCCTCCGGAACATTCGGTACGGGGGCTAACTTTCGAGAAACCCGGGAGTGTTGGGATATGCATGCCAAATTGGTTGGTGAACACGTTTTGCAAGTCGCCACGTGGACCTCAATCAGGTTGGCAAGCCCTCAAGGGAGGTTGATCCTCATCGAGGTCACTTTGACTATACTAACGAGGTGCCAAAGGTCGGCCCCTGGACGAGGTGCTACAAGCCACTCAAAGTTGTGGATAAGGTTGTTAGTTAGGTTTTTGCTAGGTCGGCGATGGTGGCAGGTCGCCAGGTCGAACTCCAACTCTTTGGCTAAGGCAAGTCATTGCCTAGGTGGTGCCGAGGTATCATTCAGCTGTTTTGAGATGCCATGTGTCATGATGCCACTGGAGGGCCAAATCCGTCCTCATCAGTGACCTCATTTTTTTGAAAATCTAGATATGTATTTTTTGAGAAGTTGTTAAAACCCACAATTCATTGCCACCATTTAGACAAGTGGCATTCTCATTTTCTAGAAAGTTAGACATGTGGCAATTTCTGAGAAATTCTTGTTAAAGTCTGCAACCCACTACTAGGGGCCCCCTACCTTTTAGACATGTGGCCTTCTCATTTTTCATGAAAGTTATACGTGTGACATTTTTAGAGAAGTTGTTGCTAAAGCCCACAACTCATTACTACCATTCACACACGTGCCATCCTATTAATTCAAGAAGTACAATTTAAAAAGTTGGTAGTTTCACTCCTGAACATTCTCAATAGACAATTATTTATTAGCTTAGCACATGTTTATCCATAGTGTATTGAATACAAATGGGGGAACCCATTAAAAGATTAGCATAAACCCATATTTGTTTTTAAATGATTTTTTTCCAAAAAGAAAATACTTTATTAATTACAAACTTGATTTAACTTTTAGGAAGCAACATAATATAATTTTTAAAAATAAATAACTCAAAATAGATTTTGATGGAGGGAGATTTGGCCCGACCTCGTAGCACGGGTACACATGGGCATGACCTTGTTCAAGCGATGACTCAGCGTGACAGCACAGCAAGCGTAGCCGCAACTCGAAGGGAAGGTCTCACCGAGTTCAGCCTGGCAACTCGGCGGGATAGGCTACTCGCCAGGAGTTGCCTAGCCTGCACCTCCTCCCCGAGGCTAAGGCACCCCAAGCTACCTCCGAGCTCGGGGCCCCCTGGCCTTTCCTAATACCCGAGCTCCTCCCAGTGAATCTCAGGCCACTCCCAGACAGGAACACCCCGATCCGCCTCTAGGTACCCCGAGGTGAAGACACCTCGGGCCAGACAGCTCGGCATAACTTGCCACAGGCAGCTCGCCGCTTGCGGGATAGCCTGGCACAGGGTAACTCGCAAAAGAACAGTTCGACATATCGCAGGAAGATCTCCTGCCCGACCACCGTACCCGACAAATCTTGGAACAACAACCACGTCCCTTGTCAGACAGTGTCGTGCCTGTCACCTTTAGAGGGTGCCTTACACCTAACAGGCACGTACCCTGCAATGATGGCCCCACGCGTGCCACCTCAGTCCTGCCTGTAATGGCTGCGGTAGGCTGACAGTGGCGGTTATACCTGCCTTGTCAGAGGCCAGTGGACCTGATGCAACAGAATTTTGTTATAAGGAGCCTACTCTCAAAGAACAGAGGTAACTTCTATCACTCGCGCTATCTGCACTCTTAGCCTTGATCCTCTCCTTGCTTCTTCCACAGAATACTAACTTAACCGTCAGAGTGTTCCCGCCGGGCAAGCCCCCGGGGATTCTTCTCCTTCTCCATCTCAGGTACCTTTCAGGAGCCACGCAAGTGCCAACTAGGAGTGACCGGATTGCACACCATCATTTGGCGCCGTCTATGGGAACCGCTTCTAAAAGCCTTCTCTAAACCTTCACAATTTTTCTTCTCTAAAAACTCAGCACTCATGGTTTCTTCGAGCAACGTCGGACGTAGCATGGAGATGGATAACGCCAGGGAACAACCCTAGGTTCCCACGGTCTGCATTGGGCAGTTCATCATTTGCCTCTTGGTGGATGGAGTCCCTAGCCTGAATGTGCCGCGAGCAGTGGTGCCTGTGGTGTTCCCCTTCCCTCCTCTGTTGAAACAACCTTTGCTGAACCGACTATCATCCCTCTGGCGACCAGCCAGAACCAGCTCGACGATTTGATGCAATGCATGCGGGACATGCAAGCCCAAGTGTAGCAGCTCCAGCAACACCAGCTTTACCAGCAGCAAGTGCTACACCATGTCTCCCAGTACCACTACCAGCAGCAATTCCCTCAGCTGCCTCAGCCTCAGATTCAGCCACAACTCCCTCCTCGGTACCCAGCCTCACAGTGAGCTAGGTCCCGCCGCCAGGATGAACGCCCTTCTTGCCAAGGAGAAGCCTCCCAAAACCCCCCTAAGAGCCAGGCCTCCTCTCGTGGCAAACAAGAAAGACCGGTCACCCCGGTCTCACCGCGGGCAGTCAGGTTAGGAGGACCCCAGCTCACTAGGTCTACGTTACCTCGGCAGTCAAAGTTCGAAACCCCGCTTCTGGAGAACCGGTTTGAGATCCTGGCTACAAACTCCAAGCAGGATCCCTCTATCTGCAGCCATCACTAGCGGCCCGAGCTACTTCCTGCACAAACCATTCCTGATAGCACGGAGGTGAGCAGCACAAGTGCGGAGCCCGCCAAGAAGCAGAGACGCCGCCGTCGAGCTCGCCGATCTGCCACCCACAACCTGCCTGAGCTCAGAGGAAGAGAAGAGGTATGCTTGGGCGAAGTTAAGGCTCCCCTCCTTTCAGTTCCATCCCCCTATCTCCTGAGCTCCTGGTTGTTCCAATGCCTAAGGACTTCAAACTCCCCCCTCTCGACAAGTATGACGGGTCGTTCGACCCAAATGAGTCTTGCATGTGCGTGGCCTTCTCCACCACTTTCAAAGGAGTGGCCCGCACATAGTACCGAAACCTAGCACCCGGATCGATAAGAAGTTGGGCGCAGTTCGCGCAAGCCTTCACGTTCCACTTCATCACCAGAATGCGGTGCCTGCGAACTGAGGAAAGCCTTCTCAACATAGTCTAGAGAGAGGGAGAGTCCATCTAGGGCTATATCAAGCGGTTCAATGATGCATGCATGCAGATACCACCCCTGGACTCCGTAGTACGCCTTGTAGCGGCCAAGAAGGGCGTGACGCACAAAGAATTCAAGTGGCACATGGTAGTCAACCAGCCGGGAACCATAATTGAATTTCTCAAGCTTGC